AACTGTCATAAAACACATTCTCCAATTAGCTTCAAGCGCAGGCTTTCTCCTCAGCCCGCCAAAACGTTATCAGTTCATTTCCCTGTCCTATATTTATGCATTTGAATGCTGTTCTTTTAAATTTCATTCTACTATTTTTGGCTAATTTCTCCAGCTTATAAAGATTGAGAGGTCCTTGGTGCTCTCTGAACTTGCTTGTTTTCTTGCAGACATTTCATTACCCAAACTAGGTAACATTGTCAGTGCTAGTAAGGAGTGCAATTTGCTGTCAGTTTTATATTCCGGTCGCTTGCCTGTCAGTATTGGTGGAGGTGGTTTTAGAGATTCTTTGATTGGGGTGTTTGCTGTTGGCTTCTTTGGCAGTTTCTTGATTTGGGTATTGTTTACTTGATTGTTGGTCTGATGTTAATCTATGCTGATCTGGATGTTGATTGCTGGCGGAGAGGTGTTTGGGTCTTTTTGTTACTTTTTGGGCTGGGTGATAGTCTCTTTTGCATAGTCTATAGATGTTGTTAATGTCTATGTGTCTATTGATGGCTTATTTGTCAGAGTGCCAGGCTTCTAGACATTCCCTGGTGTTTTTGGTGTCTCTAGTTGGTGTTCGTGGATGCTTTCTGCCAGTCTTCTGCCTGTTTGTCCTACATAGTGGTTGTTGCAGTCCTTACAACCACTGCAACAACCACTATGTAGGACAAACAGGCAGAAGACTGGCAGAATGCATCCACAAACACCAACTAGAGACACCAAAAACACCAGAGAATGTCTATAAGTGGTTGTTGCAGTCCTTACATTGCATGTTGTAATGTTTTACAACATACAGTGTAAGGACTACAACAACCACTATGTAAGACAAACAGGCCGAAGACTGGCATAACACATCCACAAACAGAAGACATGATGAAAATTCTTTAGTTTCAACACTTATAGACAGATTTAACCATAGCTTCAATTTGGAAAATATGAGAATCCTAGACCAAGCCAAGTCCAAAAATGCCAGGGAATTTCTAGAAGCCTGACACTCTGACAAATCAGAAGCTGCGAGCTCTGCAGAAACTAAAATAGTTTATTTGGGGATTTGAAGGCTCCTAGTTTAATATAACTTAAGTTTCTAGATGTTTGGTGAGAGGGATAGGAGCAGTATTATTATAGGTGCTAGTGTGAGTGGGAGTAGAGGGGTTTTTTTGTGTGCAATTAGTATAATTGTTAAAGCTCAGAAATTAACATGGGAGTTGGTTATGATTTAGATAATGGTGCCTTTTGAATAGAAGCCCGATAGGAAGGGCATACCTATTAATGAAAGGCTGGCAATGGTAGTGAATGATGAAGTTATTGGTGTGGTTTTTAGGAGGTTGCCTGTTATTCGGACATCTTGTTCGTTATTTAGACTATGAATAAATGAGCCAGAGCATAGAAAAAGAAGTGTTTTAAAGAAAGAGTGTATGGTTATATGGGAGAAAGGCTAGGGTGGGTTGGTTTAATCCTAGCATTGTTATTATTAAGCTTAGTTGGCTTGTGGTTGATAATGCGATGATTTTTTTAATATTGTGTTGTGTGATTGCTGCGGCATGGTTGTTGTTGCTCCAAGGATTAAGCAAGCTGTTTTATGACATGGCTGTTGTGTAAGATGGGGTGAAGTCAAATTAGTAAAAAGACCCCTGCCACAACCATAGTGCTTGAGTGAAGTAAGGCTGATAACCCTAATCCTAACCCAAATCAGCATATATTAACTCCAAGGTTAAGATCAGACCAACAATCAAGTAAACAATACCCCAATCAAGAAACTGCAAAAGAAGCCAACAGCAAACAGCCTAACCAACACTGACAGGGAACCACTAGAATATAAACTGACAACAAACTGTCTTACTAGCACTGATGATGTTATCTAGTTTGGGTAAAGAAACATTTGCTAGAAAACAAGCAAGCTCAGAGAGCACCAACAATTCATATCAACTCTGAGCTACAAATATTCTCCTTTATTAGTACTATAAAGATTGTTTTGAATATTATTTCTTACTCACCTAAAATCTGTATTTTTGATAAACATTCCCTGCCCTCTTCAACAAAACTGTTAATAAAAATAACGAAGAGTTGACCATCCAAGATTATCTTTTATAGCCTCTTTTCAGTATAATGTCAAATTAGCAAACATTGCTTTTTGAACACGATTTTATGTTTCTACTTGCTTGTCATGCCATTAAACCCACATTAATTAAATTACTATCATTATCCATAGTACTTTGTCAAAGGCTTAGCTGAAATCAAGGTATATTATGTCTGCAATATTCCCAAGAGGGCATTTTTGGGGTAGGCACCAGGCTAGAAACAAATAATGAGCTGGTCCTATCTTAGATATAAAACCAGTGGGGTGACCTTGGGCCAGTCACTCTCTCAGACCTAAGAAGAAGGCTTGGGCAAAGCATTTCCGAAAATCTTGCCAAGAAACTGAAACATCTTGTATAGACAATCACCAGGAATCAATGCTAACTTGAACACACACACACAGAAAAGTATTCCCATAATTTTTAAGGATATTACTAAGAAAAGAATAAATGTAATGAGATTCTTTATTGTGCCTGCTTTAACATAAGTGGAGGAATTAATAAAATCCAAGTTGTTTAAAAACAGACTTTTAAATTGGCTTGAAAATGTTAAATAATATTAATCAAAAATTACTCATGAAATGGGGTGCCACAGGATTCATTGTTATTACTCTTAAATGTTTGGAAGAACAGAGGTAATATTTATTTATCACATTTTCAACTCACATAAAAGAACATAAAACCTAGAAAACAGAAACAAAATTCTTAACAGTCTGAAAACTGGGCTGGAAATATCAGAATAAAATTTAATAAAGAGAAATGCGAAGTTCTTTACTTGAACCAAAAGAAGCCTAGAAACACCATAAGAATAATAATGAGTATTAATGGTTATCAGATCATAAACTGAATGTGAATCAGTAACCTGACTGCTAAAAAGGCAAATGCAGTTTTAGGTTGCATTGATAGAAACAATTTCCAAATCATAAATAATAGCAGTTGTATTCAGTATGTTAGTTACTATTTCATGTTTGAGTAACAAAATTTAATATTCAAAAAAATGAAATAATTGCAGAGAAGCGAAATTGAGATAACCCGGGAATTTAAAACTAAGTTTGATCAGGTAAATTCCCTTCTCTTTAATTTCTATATAAATTATTTAGTTATATGTCTATATAACAGAGAATATCATTCTCTCTGAGGAAAGTTTTCTTTAATTCCCTATGTGTGTATGATGCAGTTACTCTATCATTACTTATCACTGGAATGCAACGAGAACTAAAGATGCTTATTAACTATGCTTAACAAACTATTTACCTTTAATTATAAAGAAGACAAAAGTCTCCACTTTGGCAATTAAAAAATAATATCCTACTATGGGATCATGATGATGGGAACATGATCAAATAAAGGTGAGTTCTTCAAGCTCAGTAGGGCATATGTAAAGCATTCTCCATAGTGAATCCAACAGTCTCTAGATTCTACTATCAAAGAAGTGGCTGTTAACAACCTTAATATTTATGGACCAAATAGTTACCCTTGTTTCAGATAAATATATGGTCCTCAATGGAAATAAAATGTAAATGGCAATGTTCCTGCTAATTATATATTCATAACCACTGTAGAATAATGGATGTGAGTTACTGGAAAACAATGTCCTCTTATTATTTTTTTAATGTAGCAGTTCGATAGAGGAAACAATTAACAGAGGGGTAGTGGCTCCTCTTTATAGGATGTGTTCAAATAGAAGTTAGAAAGCCATAAGCTTCAATTTGGATTACTCTACTGATGGATGTGATGGCCAAATACCCCTGTCTAGTTCTATGAAGACTTGAGGACTTTCCCTGTAATTTCCTCTTTTATTTTTCTGTGTATGGCATATAGTTTACCACTCTGACTACATGAGAACTAATATATGAAGGAATTATTTATTAATGTATGTAGTGGTGAAGTAGCTTATATGTCTCAGTGACAGTATGAGCTATGCCTTTAGGAATGTACACATTCCCAGAAAGGTCATTCAAAAGCAGGAGTGTCAAACTGCTGGGCCAGATGCGTCACGACGAAACCGTGCCCACCCCATTGCCGGCAATGGGGAAAAAGCTCCAATACATTGTGTGACGTAACGTGACATTGCGAGTTTGACATGTCTGTTCAAAAGGATCAGACCAAGGGTGATGCACTGGAGAAGGAAATGGCATAAAAGACACAGAATAATTAAGATCAGATAGAACTATGTTCCCCCTGCCCCAAACACTGGGATAGAATGGGACTGGGTCTGAGTGATTGTTGTTTACTGGACAGTATTACCTTATGGTGCTGGCAATTGTTTTTTGTATAGTGTTTTTTATTGTTTTTTATTGCTGTTGATGTGAGCTATCAAGAGTTATGGCTATGAATGAATAAAGGGTATCAGTTTATTTAGTCATTCAATTCTGGGGTTATAATTGAGTGCTGACTTCAACATGCTATTGTCCACAATAATGGCTACTCCATTTCTCCAGTACTTTTCTTGTCCACAGAAGAAGATGCTATTTTTCTGATGTGATCCATTTTAGGCAATTTTAGATTGCAGATTCTAAGAGTATCAGTACTTCAGTTTGGGTATTTTTATGTTAACAACATGAAGTTTTCCTTAGTTCACAGTTCTGACATTCCATGTACAAATGGTATACATGTATCTGCTGTATCAGAATTTGTTTTACCTTTGGTCGCATCAGCTAGGCGGCCTTACATGAAATAGAGGGAAAGGGAAAGAAATATGAAAATCAACTTAAGAGGAATATTGACGGAAACAATCTTGGCTTAAAGATTGCCTTTTAATTCCAAGAATTTAGTGAAGGAGAGCGATAATGTTCTCTTTATACAGAAATTCTATATATATTTAAAAATCCTGTGTTGTAGTAGGAGATACAATCAAGAAATTGGTTTTCTTTCTGCTAAAATGAATTTTAATCATTGCAGACCAGTAATGGAGGAGGGAGTTTAAGTGATTATTCTTCCTCTGTCCCATCTACTCCAAGCACCAGTCAGAAGGAACTACGAATTGATGTTCCACCTACTACTAATACTCCAACACCCGTTCGTAAGCAGTCCAAGCGCCGGTCCAATCTTTTTACAGTGAGTTGACAAAAAGATATTTGATTTCTGTTACCACTGATGTCAACAAATGACTCTGCTTGTTTGATCATGTTACTCTAATCAATTAATCAATAAGCTAACTTCAAAAACCATCTTTGAAGACTGGCTTCTCCTTCCCTGTAGTTAAGAATAACCTCAGTTTGGATGTGATAAAAACATCTAAATTCCATTTTTTCTTATTTTGTATGATCTTTATCATGGTTCTGGGATGCATTGAAATGTATATAGAGTGAGGGAAAACAGTAGTTAATTCATACTAACAGTAGTTAATTCAGTGCTACATATTCTACCTTTGAAGCAACATAATCTTGTTTTCAGGAATTAGCAGCACTTGGCCCCAGTGATGAGAAAAAGATTGGCTGCTAGGNGCTGCTAGGTATTACAGATTAGGGACTTGTTCTTAAAGATTGTCAATTAATCAAATTACACTTTCTACTATTCTTTTGTATGGAAGACAGTTCCCTGTGTCTTCTATGGGAGACAGTACCATGTGTCTGCAAATGAAGTCAATTATTCCAAATAGAACTTACTGGGACAAAAACAATTAACATGGTTTGACATCTTCTAAGGTGATTCCTGCTCCTTTTTTGTTTCACATGTGGCTTAAACATACAGACATGACTGTGGAAAACTAATTGAGGACTAATTGACTGAGAAGGGACATTGCATATTAAACCTTTTAGCTGATGAGTATGTGTTGAGTTTTGAGCATTTCTAGAAAAAGATTGATTGGTTTTGAGCATTTCTAGAGAATTATTCATGTTCCTAGAATAAAGCTCTAACAGCACGAGTGCAGTATAAATGAGTTTCAGATGAGAGCTTAAAAATACCTCTTGAATTTGGGAGGAACCAATTTTCTACAGTTAGTACACATGGAGAGAGATACTGCAAGTGAACTGCTAGTTGGAAATAGCATTTTTTTATAGCCTACATTGTTACATGTGTCCAGAAAACTCTTACGTTGGTTTGCTCATTTTGCCTGCATCTCAACATGGGCAAGTCTGCAGTTGTTTGCAATCTTCTCCACTTACAGATAATTTTCCAATTTTCCAATAATTCATGTCCATTTGTTAGGCAATCTTTTTGAATACCTTCTCAGTTTCATGGGCATGTATAAAACTTCTTTCTGAAGGCCTCAGAGAGCTAGGTATGGTAATACCATACACATCAACAATAAAGAGCACATCCAACTAAATATTTGAAGTTTCAATCAGACAGGTTATCAAATTCTTATCTAATAATATTTTAATCATGTCCTAGTGCATTGGATTCTAATCATAAGTAGTTGAGATAGTAATCAGTATAGGGGTTATTTACTTTTCCTGCATGAGAAACTTGCATTTATATTTATTTTAGTTGCACAATGTTTTATCCCCCTTTTCAGTATTGCTGAAATGAAGGATTAAATATTTGTATGTGGAAATATGTGGAAAAAGTCAAACATTTTAATGGGGTGTAGTTAGTTTTTCATACAATTGCATAATTAAATGGTTACCCAGAAGTGTGTATATTCATATTAGATTTCAAAAGAGAAAACTTTCTAAAACTGAAGAGCTTGGTTTAAAAAAAATGAAGACAAAGGATGATACAGTGAAGCAGTATTTATTTGCTATGTAATTTTATCTTAATCCACTAGATGTCATTGGAAGTCAAAGAATATAGCATAAGTGAGGCAAACAGAAAGGATGACATTTAAAACTATACTTTTTTATTCAGACTTGTTTAAGAATTTTTGGAAATAATGTACATTGAGGTTCAATATTTCATGGGGCTTCAATGAAGGGAGAATTAGATGAGAGACATGGATTCTTCTAAACAAATTTCTATCTATAATGCAGCATACTGGTTTTGCAGAGATACTGTTAAATTTTAGAATTAAATTTGGTAGTTCTAAAAAGAAAAACAAATACAGTAAAATGAGGTACATTTGAAATAATAAGAAACATCAGAAAATAAGACATTGACTTTTTGTACTAGCTTTGAAATATCAAGGTTCTGTTTTGCATATTGTAAGAAAATATTATCATAGTCATTATTCTTTTATTTGAATAAAATATTATAGCACAGTAAAACTGATGAGAAATTTTATAAAAAATTCTGTTTTCTGGCTTGTTCAGTTTTTGTCAGCAGTACCAGAATTGTCAAGGGCTTCAAAATTTCAGTCTTTTGCAATGGCACTAGCTGTATGTAAGGACCCACCCCACTTTGCACCTTAAGAAGACAGAACTCTTGGAATATTTCTTCCAACAGGCATCTTTATTAAGAGAAACTGGTGGCAGGCGTTGTAGACAGGACTTGGGGTCCAAGCCCTACGGTTCAACGTTTTAAGGGGTCCCCAGCAGCCCCATCCCACCCCACCATCCTTCTAGCGACAATCCCAGGCATTGCATTTCCACCCCCCTTTTTCCTCACTGCCGGTGGAAAGGAGACTTCAGAGGGGATTAGATGAAAGCTGATAGCCCCATTGTTATTGATGAGTCCTTTTGGTGGTATCCACATTCAGTCCCTTTGAAGTTGTACCGAAGGAAGTGAGGGCCATAAAACCCCTTGTTCACCCCCCTTCCCCTTCCTCATATGACAGAATCCAGAGAGGGCAGAAATGGGGTTTTCCATAGTTGATAACTAGAGATGAAATATGATTGGATTCTGACACTGTATTAACCTGATATATTAACAAAAAAGAAATATTAAGAAATACTATTTTTCTAAGAATTTATAAATACTGTCATCAGTTTTTATAGATTCTTAGAAAAAATAGTATTTCTTAATTATTGTTTTGTAAATACAGTTTTGAATAGTCAAAGTGGCATCATTTGCTTAGATATTTGTCATTTGCCTTCTGAAAACTTAACAAAAATTAAATTATAATTAAGCAATTTGAAACAATCCATACAACACAGCATTATGTAGAGGAACTTAGTAATAACCATGGTATGAAATACTGTTAAGGAGGGATTGAAGAAATGATTATACAGTGCAGAGATTGAGTGGAAGGGTGAGAAATGACCACAGAATAACCCCATCTTGCTTTTGTTAGTTTAATATAGGACAGGGAGAAGCTTGTACAACTTTCAAGATTATATTGTTTTACCTTATTCTAACAAAGCAATATTCCTGGAATCACTGTGGTTTCTGTCTCTTGACTGAGCCTACTTTAAATAGTAGGCTGCATTTAATAGTAGAATATTAGTATTAAAATAATGGAACTGAAAGGTAATGGTAAAAAGGAATAATATTCTGATAGTTGTCTCTTGCTAAATAGTGTTTTCTGCCTGGGGAGAATTATGGCTTAATTCCTTAGATATTAAAATTGAATACCCTAATACCTCCTTTTATTTATTAAAAATAGTTGATACTAGGTTCACCATGCAAAGACTTTTTACTTGGCTTGGCAAGGCAGCTTTTATTTAAGGCAAAGAAATGATGTGATTTTCCTCAGTGAGGTACTTTGAGTTGCTTCAAAGCTTTAACTGTCTATTGCAGGGGTGTCAAACTGCCGGCTCGCGGGCCGGTTGCATCATGCGCAGGCCGCGCCCACCTCAGCTCCGGCAATGCAAAAAAAGTCGCGATATGTTGTGACATGTCATGTGACGTGGCGAGTTTGACACCTGTGGTCTATTAGAATTGCTGGAGAAGGCAAAACTGCTGCTTTACTCTCTTTGAAGAAAGGGGGAGGCAGGCTCACTGCAAACTTCAAAAAGGTGCTCTATATTAGCAATAATTGAAACAAGTCATCTTTTGGAAGAACTGCAAAAACATATTTTCCATATCTAGTTACGTATATGGTGGTTTAATTGAGTTCAAGAATAGTAATAATTATTTTTTTATTCTTGTGAGTTATTTTACAGGCATGAGTTATGTCAAATATTCTATTCTGTATTGATACTGATCCAGTTGTACTTATTATGAATACACTTTTTCTGATATATATTAAGTTATAGAGAAAATATTCTTATCTATTCCAAAATTTTAAAAAACCCTCTTGAAACATGATTATGTATGCTGCTTCAGCCAATAATTTTTGAGGTATACAAAAGTCATTGCTTCCTAGCATACATTATTTTATAACATCATAATGTAGAAGACAATAAGTAGTAATTATAGCAGCAGCTACAAAAATATTTTTTTATCATAACGGATATAAAAATAACTGTGCAAATGAAAGTACTATTCCCCAAATTTTACAGCCATGGCTAAAACATAATGTTGGTTATATATGACACAAGGCTGTAAACAGGAAACATGAACCAATTCTGCTTATAATATTTACATTCTTAATTTTCCAGGTGTGAGAGGTATGTCGTGTGTGTGTGTGTCTGTATGTGAAAATAAAAAAGATAAAATGCTTGCTGTCAAATAGATACAATAATTCCATCAAATAATTTTGAGTAAGTGATTTTGACAGCTTTATGGGGAAAGTTTATACTGTAATATCTGATTTAATAATTTTGAAATCAGTAAAGTCAAAATCATCACTGAGAAAATCACTGTAGATCAAACATGTCCAACTCGTGGCGTCACGTGATGTCGTGCAACGTATCGAGACGGTTTTGCCATTGCCGGCAATGGGGTGGGCGCGGCTTCCGGATGATGCGTCCGGCCCATGGGCTGGCAGTTTGACACCCCTGCAGATTGAAGGTGATTTTAGAGTGAACTTTTATTATTCAAAAAAACCCTTATTAAAATATTCAGAACTGTCACTCTGAAATTTTTTGCTAATATTTTGTTTCCTCTTTAAAGAGATGCTGTTCTAGTGACAGTATTATAAGGGAAATATTTTTTTTAAACCAAAAAAGATGACTAATAAAAACATAAGAAGGCTCAAGCATCATATTGATTTGATTTCTTAATTTAACAGAAATTGGGAGTATGATCATTCAACATGACTGTCTAAAGCTTTAGCTAAGTAGCCCTATGGATTAATCCAGACAGAGTAATGCAAGCTGCTGGTTCCTAAAGGAATGCATTAGTTCAATACATAAAATGTAAACATAATTCTTAAGATGTGTGTGTAATGGGAGTATTATATTGGGAGTATTTTGTTGTTCAGAAGGCCAATTCCTTTTCTCTTAATTCATTCTCAGAAGTATGAAGATAGTTTTGCTTGGCATTCAGATATGTATTTCTAATGTGGATTTTTGAAGGCACACTCTGAATGTATTGTAGAAAATATCTGTGGTTTCATATCATTTGTGTTTTAGTAGCATTCAGCTCTGTGCTGGATATCACTGGCACATACACCTCATATATCATTTATGACTTGAAAGCCACATGAAAATGTTTCTCCATTTTCAGTATTGTGTGAGTAATGTTCCCACTGAAAACTAATGGAGTGAAGTTGTCAGTATAGTTATTAAGGAGGATGACTTCATAATAAAATAAATCTGTCACTTCAAGCTTTACTTAGCTGACAATAATAGAGGAGGATATGAAGTTCTCTTTAGATAGGATTATATGTATTTGTTGCACAGCAGTGAGAAAATAAGCAAGGCAATTTTTGCCACATAATTTGAAAAGGGATGCTATTTTTTTAATCTAATCAGATAAGGTAGTTGTTCATTCTTAAAAGATGTTATTGCATTTTATTATGTCCATGACATCTGTTATTGAAGAAAGTATGCCTAAAAGAGTTAACTAGTATTTCTATTTTTTATACTTAGTCAAAGCAGCTTGGTTTTCTTAGTGTTGGTTTGATTTTGATGCTATCATCTGAAAGTAGTAAAGAAGAAAAATTAAATTCTAATCAAGATAATCCATAAACACTGCTGAGTTAATAGCTTTTTAAAATCTAATCAAATGATAATAAAGTATGTACAGATATATAAGAAATTTCCAGTGTGAAAAGATACACAGTTTGTTGGGCATTTTTAAATCCCTATTGTATTAAAGAGTTAAAGTATTTATATATGTGTGTATGAGTGAGAGAGAGAAAGAGAGGGAGAGACATTTTATAAATATAACATTTACAATTTAATATGTGAATGTGGAAAAATGAATTAATGTATTAAGAGTATTTATTTTGCTTTTACCATAGTCTCGGAAAGGGAGTGACCCAGACAAAGAGAAGAAAGGATTGGCGAACAGAGCAGATAGTATTGGAAGCGGTCGTGCAATCCCAATTAAACAGGTACAACCTGTGTATATGTGTGAATGATTTCCTGTACTTTGAGGCACACCTTAGGTCTTAAACACCATGATGCTTGACTACCATGCCAAGATTTGTTTGATATGCTGTGGTGATGAATGTTGAAGTCACTCACTTGACATCAATTAGAAGAGGTTCCTATGTGAATTAAAATAAGATCATTAGAATAAGAAGAGGGAAAATGTGACAACAGGCCTAATGAAGTGCAGTCTGCCAGCCTGCATATGGAGTGTGCTTCTAGGCTGAGCTGGCTTCAAAGCCTGTCTTTGTAGAAAGTGCTTTGATTGGACCATTTGCTGCCAGTCTACAAGGATAGATCAGCTCACTGTACAAGAGCCCCTTGTGATCACAGAAATAACCCGATGTGGCTCTCATTTGCTGTTGCAGAAGGACATCTGAACATTGTTCTAGATTGATTTTCAGCAATGAGGCAGTTAATTTAAGTCAGCTGTGTACTTTTATTTGTAGTCTGCTAATAAAGAAATCGTAACTCTGTTTGGATGTTTTATATAAGCAAACATTTACAGCCATAATATCTGGTCTTAAATATCCCTATTATAATGTAGGATTTCAAACTAAGGAATTCCTTTTGTCTGTTTGACTACTAGTATTAACTGCATTAGTGCCACATTCCTAAGATACTGAATATGAAAAGAATTGCATATCAAAAAACCCCACTTGGATCTTATGAAATCATGTTTAACTGTTCTAACACTTAAATTAGTTATCAATTTTTACATATCATAAATGGAACAGTAATAGTGAAATATTGCAGTCATGTCCCTTTGATTTCTGTTTCCTAGTTTTAAAAGCTTCCTATGATAAAAAAAATTGAGCCAATCATTCCTACACAATTCCATAGGAAAGAAGTGCAGAACTTCTGGTTGTAGTGATATGCTAAATATTATCAGAGATTTTATAAAATATATCTTATTTTTTGCTTACATACTAAAGCAAAGATTGGAATGAAAATCTCAATAAAATTTGTTTATTAAAACTTAATGAACACATTTATGAAACATCTGGTTCCATGGCCATTAATCTTAATTAATATATATGGCCTACATAAACTTAAATGCTAGCTGTTGGGGAGCAATAGTTGAAGGAAGATAGTTTTAAGTCCTTTTCCCCCCCCAGATTATACTAGCTGGCTATTGTGTAATACTGAATGCTGGATTAGAGAGGCTCCTGGCTTGATTAGGTGTGGCTCTTCCTATGCTCTTCCTATGTTGTACATTGTGTTAGGAAATTCATTATGTGATTATAGGAATGCCTAAGCATCCTGAGGCTCATCACCAAAATTAATTTCATTGTCAAAATCCACCACGGATTTAGAGTTTAAGCATCTGCATGAAAATAATAGTTAGGCAGTTCTCTATGGTCTAACTCTATCAAGGAAATAATAAGTAAATTAAGGTATCAGTCTTTAAATTATAATAATTTCCTTATGTCTGTAAAAAAAGTATTGCTCATTCTGAAAACAACAATAGTAATAAATATATCACTTTTCCTCTATTTGTTTCTACTAACATATTACTGTTCTCTTTAATCAATTCAGTTTACTCCCCAATCCTTCAGTCTTTACAAGTAATATTTAAATTAATATAATACTGATTTTCACGTCAATTCAAAAGTAATAGTTGGCAGTTCCAGGGTCTGGGTTGTGTTCCTAATTGTAAGTGATGTAAATGTTTTCATCATTAAATATTCTTCCTTTTTTTTATTGTATGCTATATGGTTTGCTGTTATTTTTTATTTAAGCCAAGGCACTTCTTGCTTCAGCGACAGACATGTTTCAGATTAGATGCTGCCTACCACTTGAGAGTTTTTGTTAAATATAGTTATTATTTTGACTGTATGTTATAAAATAAAAAAAGAAAAGGATTTAGATATTCTGGTGTTTTTCTTCATCTCTAGATCAGAGGAAGATGATAATCAGTGATAATCCAAATAGGACAGAAATTTAAGGCCAAATTTATTATGAAAACTGAAGAATTTAGAACTGTTAATCTCCATTCTTTATAAACATGCATAATTATTATTGTTTTATGGAAGAATAAATGTCTAGAAAAGAAAATTCCTAAAATTTCCTACTGTAGAATACATAAGAGCACACAAAACATATGCTTTGTTTAGAATAATGAGTTTTTGATTTCCTGTTTCCAACTAATCTGATATACGATGAATCCAGATATAGAAAAATAATTTAACATTGTCAACTATAAAACTGCTTTCATTTTTGGAATAAGTTATACAACTTATAACTTATATGAGCAGGGGGTTGGACTAGATGACCTTCAAGGTCCCTTCCAACTTTACTATTATTATTATTATAACTTCACAAACAAAAATAATATAGTGTAAAATTATATAGTTTTATACTTTTTATAATGCTAGTGTAAAATTATATACTGTAAAATTATAACGATAGTAGATTAGTGAGGTTTTTCCTTCAGTATTAGAATTTTTCAAAAACCAAGGCACCAGATTGCTTTACCTATCTATCTATCTATCTATCTATCTATCTATCTATCTATCTATCTATCTATCTATCTATCTATCTATCTATCTATCCATCCATCCATCCATCCATCCATCCATCCATCCATTCATTAAAATATGTATTTAGGGATCAGGCCTCATGTACTGCAGAATGTACTCATTAATGATAGTATGAAAAGTTTAGAGAAAATACTAGACACAAATATATACCAGTATCCCATCCAAATATCTGATCAAAATAATAATTTGTTTTTCAAAATGATTAAGTATGAAGTTGCAGTAGGATTACTGCAATACAGTGTTATATGTAACTATGTAACATGTTTAGACATACCAGTCATATTTCACAAGCACACTATGGCTAATGTTCATACCAGTTTCTTAGATTTAGACAAACAACAAAGTTAAGATAAAGCAGAAAGGGAAAAGAAGTGTGAAAGAAATGTAAAAGTGAGACATAACCAAAGTTTGGGAGCAGATAAATTGTAAATAGTATTTAGCACAAAGATTCAATAAGGTGTTTTAACATTATTATTGCTAATGTAATTGTGTAATATCTCATTACGTTATTTATTTCTTTTATGTCCCATCTTTATTATTTTGATAAATAACTCAAGGCGATGAACATATCTAACACATCTTTCTGCTCCTTTTACCAGACAACAGTAACTGTGAGGTGGTTGGACTGAAAGTGTGTGACTAGCCCAAGATCAACCACCTGACTTTCATGGCTAAGGCGAGACTAGAACTCATAGTTTCTAGCCTAGTGCCTTAACCACTAGACCAAACTGACTCTCTACTTTTTAAAAATACTTTAAAAATCACTGTTCTTTTTTTAAATAATATTTTTTAATTTGTGTCAAACTTTCTAAAAAAGGAAGTGGAATGTTTAACTTATTCTAAGTACATACATGCCCAGTATTCTTGGAGTTGGATGGCCTTAACAAGTACAATAAATAAATAAAATAATATATATCAAATACAAGCGTTGTTTTTCAAGCAAGAGTCCTTTTAAACATAGGCATATTTTGGTAAAGTTATCCATATAAAGCTGAAAATCGTATGGGAAATATCTGATTTCTAAGGTTCATGAATTAGGTTCACCTAAAACAGGGCTTTTCAACCAGTGGTACGGGTACCACCTGTGGTACATTGGCACCTGGCAGGTGGTACGTGACCATCCTAGAAAAGTGGTAGCGGGGGAGGGGAATGAGCTGAACTGGTGGTAGCACCGCACAAGCCTGAGCGAGAGATGGCTGGAGCTGCAGGGCTTCAGGGCTCAGCAGAAGCGCCAGGATCAGTGCCGCTTTCCAGCTGATCGGCGCTTCTTCGGGGCTGTCAGGGCTCAGTGGAAGCGCCAGGATCAGCACCAGGCTCCAGCTGGAACTCTGCGCTGATCCTGGCACTTTCTGCTGAGTCCAGAAGAAACGCCGATCAGCTGGAATGTTGCAGCATCTCCAGGGTCTTGTGATTTACATTCAGATGCTTGGCAACTGATTCATATTTATGACGGTCACAGTGTCCCAGGGTCATGTGAAGTGACCAAAACCTGCTGCAACCACCCAGCAGACGGGGGTAATAAAAACCAAACACCCACCACCACTCATGCTGTCAATCCTCAACAGAAATGCACACAACAATGAAAACCTTGGACAGGAGGAAGAGTGCTGCCGGGTGGGCAGGCAGGTGTCTTGCTCGGCTGTGGCTTGGGGGGCACTTTTTGCAGTGCCATTGTAACTTTGAACAGTCCCTAAGCGAACTGTTGTAAGTCGAGGACTACCTGTACTTTATCACTTTTTCCCTTTTTTGGGGGGGTCATCAAGTTTTTGACACCTTGCTAGGCGACTGGTGGCACTCGTATATTGCCATATCCTAAAAGTGGTACAATGGGTGAAAAGGTTGAAAGCCCTGACCTAAAACACTTAATTGAATTAACCATTTTGTGGGTTTTTAAACCAACCAAATACTCTGGATTCCATGCAGCATGCTAAAATATAAAGAAAATAGCCAACCTTAATCCCAACTAAGTTTGGAATCTTGAGGGAATGTAGTTTCTGTGTCTCTAAATTATGATGTTACACAAACTTATTCATGTACAGATAGACCTCTTTTTATGATTGGTTACTCAGCAGTCATTCTAATGACACCCCCCCTCCCAAAGTTACTTATGATCACATTTCAAATTTGCAGCAGCACCCTCACTATTATTTGCTCTTATGGCCAACTGCAGGGATGCTACAGTTGTTGGGCAGATGTTGTGCAAGTGCCAGTAAGAGCTTCTTGTATTTTAGTCTTCTTGCTGATAAATGAGGATGGTTGGCATGCACTGGTAGGAGTGAGTTGTTCATAATTTTTCTGTACTCTTTCACTAGTGCATCTTGCTTGTGATGCTATATAGCTCAGAACAGAAAGCCAGCGAGTCAGAGTGGTTTTAATACATCCGCTTATAATCCTCATGGTGTCATTGAGTCTGGCAGCTGTTGAGCCATACAGGGGCATAGTAATCT